GACACTGCCTATATTCACCTCTTCCCACATTCACGTACTTGATGTTACAGTCACGCGTCACTTAATGTTTAAATATGTTCCAAGAAACACGTTGTGAGGCAATTTCATTATTGTGCAAACAGCAGAGTCACACAGACCTAGATGGTGTAGTCAAAATCACTGGACATGGCCTCTTGATGCCAAAAAGAAATATGGAAAATGTGAGATGTATGAGCTGCTGCCAGCTTCATACAGTGTACAGTCTCAAAGTAATTTTTTTAATAAGTAGAAGTATGCTCTGACAACAAATAGTACAATAAATACATAAACCAGTAAAAGTTGTGTTTTGTCATTATCAAATATGATATCTTATGCATACTTTGTGTGTGTGTGTGTGTTACTGGGGATTGAACCCACGGCCTTGTGCATGCAAGGCAAGCATTCTACCAACTGAGCTATATTCCCAGACCTATGCATAATTTTTTATGTACTCTACTTCTAATGATTAGCAGCACAGTAGGTGTTTATACTGGCATCTTCACAAATGTGAGTTGTGTTTCCTAAGCTTTTATGAAGGCTAAGACATCAGTAGGTGACAGGAATTTTTCAGCTCCATTATAATCTATGGGACCACTGTCACATGTGTGCTCTGTTGTTGACTGACATGTCATTATGTGGTGCAGTCCTACATTATGGCTATAGTCCTACAGAGGACTATGGGTTGGCACCCTGATTTGGAGGTGGATGGGTCAACTTGGCATTGGATAAACAGACTGGAGCTTGAGGCACAGCAGTTCCGTAAGCTCTGTGACCTGGGCCAGTTCATTTAATCTCTTCTTACCTTAATTTCTCATGTAGCAAACCAAGCTAAGAGTCTCTTCCACACAGGCATAGCATAATGCCTTACTGCTCATCCCTCTAGCTCCTATCCATGCCGTTAAAAACTCTATACAAGTTCACTTAAGTTTTACAGAAAGGTAAATTGGCTCTGTACTTAGCCTCTTTCTAGTTCAAGGGTATATATATGTGGGTACACATCTCAGCTAAGAGGGCAATGAGAACCTGTTTCAAGAAACACACAGTCTCCTTGGCATGCTTCCGACTGGTAGGCCAGCCCTGCTAGCTGTCAGTCAGATCAACTTGGGACAGACTCCCCCTTTCTCGAGTCCCTTCCTGTGGCAGGGGGATTCAATGTACCCTGTTGAGAGCCACAGCCGAAGTGGCCCCAGCAAACTTCCAGCTGATTGGCTCCTCTGCGGTGATGCTCATTGGGCTGTTTCCCTGCCCTTTCAGACCACGGAGCTGCTCATTGGGGGACTCTTTTGGCTCCGCCCACACGACCCAGCCAATCGGCCACAAGAGCAGGAGGAGTGGGGGTTGAGAGGCTTGTGGGAAGCCGGTGGTGGCAGTTGGGCTCTGAGGGAATTCCTGAAGAGCTCCTGTGGTGTGGCCTGTGTTCTAAAAATAAAGTTCGTTTCTGCTTGACAAGTGGCTCCTGAATTGTGCGCAGCCAGGCTGTGGCAGTACCCCTATCCTGCTCTTCAGAGAACATGGTATGGGCACCCCAAGAGTCAGAGATACAAAATCAGGGCCATCAGTGTGCTCACTGGAGTCTATGCCAGGCAATTCTGGTTGACAAGGACTTAACTACAAGAAAGGAGAGAGGCCGAATCCTCCATAGAATGTCCTCTTTCTCTTCCAGGCAAATGAACCCCTGGAGCAGAACTAGAGGTTCTGGCCAGCCTCTTGGCCAGCCTAGCTTCTGTGGCATACTTCTGACTGTCCAGCTAGTGGACCCTCAATGTGTGCTGGGTATGCTTCATGTTCAGTGACACTGCTGGCCATGACTACCCAGTCTCCTCGATGGCCCAGCACCCGATACACATAGACCAGGTGTCTTCCTGGTAGGAACATGAGGTGCCAGGTATGCAAGCCCTGGGAATGGGCCATGGGCATGCAAACAGTACCATCCCAGCTCCACTCCCACCCAGGGCTGGGCCTTTCAGCTTAGGCCTTGCAGCCTGTACCCCAGCCCCGCTGTCCCCATCATGCAGACACAGGCCTTTCCATGTTCATTTTTATTTAAAGACTCAGAAACACAGGCATCATAGTTTGTCACTACTGTCAATTCTTCCAAAATCACACGCTGACATTGTGTATAACAGAAACACTATGCGTGTGTGTGTGTGTGTGTGTGTGCGAACTGTGCAAAGTACAAAGGATTTCCCAGTTGGTTGGCTGAGCTGGTTTCAGGGTGTTCAGCCTGGCATTCAGGCCCCGCTGCCTACCATCCTGTCTCCCTCCCTCATCCCCTTGACACTCCGGGGGGCCAGGCTGTCCTATCTCCTAGGAGTCTGCTGACCTTGCTCAGTCAAAGCTATGGACCCTAATGTGCTCCTCAAAGAAAATCACCTTGGCTGCCGAATGCCACTGCACAATTAGAAGTGGACATCGTGGGGCCAGGATGGGGTATGAGGGTTCAGGACAAAGTGCTGGTTTCATCTTCATCACTGAAACGTCTGTCCTGGGAGGCAAGAAGGCCTGAAGGGAAGGGCTACTTCTGCTCCTGCACTGTTAAGAAGGCTGAAGGACTTGGATATGTTGAAGACACTCAGACAACACATCGGGGCTGGTTGTGTATTTCTCCCACTCTCTGGCAGCCCAGTGCCCACTCCAGGAGCTCCACCCACCTGACAGCAAACCCTGGAGTTGGCTGGGCCCACAGCATCGTTCTCCTTCCCAAGAAGGGTCCAATACTCACCCCTGACTCTGCCATGAAAGGGGCCAATGTCCTCCAAAGACACCTAAACACTTGCCCCAGCTCTCTATCATGAGGTGGGGGTGCTCGGCTGGGTGGGCTGAATCCCCACTCACAATCGCTAAGTAGTGGAGCACATTCCCACCATGAGCACCATGTGGGCAGAGACTGGGAGAGGAAAGTAAGCCCGAGTTAGTAATTGTTGCTTGGTAGCTGCCCTCTTTAACAAAAAGAAAAAAAAAAAGACTATTTTTTACCTGGAGACTCAAATTAGTTCTGGTTCTGCTGGAGAATGTTTCTCACCCAGGGTGTTAATCTCTTTGGTGACAGCATGAATTTAAACATGCACAAGATTTTTTTTGTGTGTGCATGGTGGGCAACTAATTTGGCAATGATGATGACTAGATCCCTTCTGGTTGTCACGAACCCAGTGTGTAAACTAGATTTTCTCTTTGATTCAGAACAAATTTCTCATGTCCATTAATTCTATTATCATCTGGAGGGAGAGGAAGAGCCATTTTCTAGATGTGATTCCCCCAGTGTGGAAGCCACCTGGCAGTTATACATAGCCAAGTCATGTCCCCAAATAGGAACTCGGAAAATAAGTGGTCTTCATTTCAAAGTCTTTATGCCAGGCAAGCGAATGCATTTCTGGAATGTGCTGCATCCCTGAAAAACACTGACAATGTCCACTGCCAAAGGCTAATTATTCAGCCTAACGTAAGGCTGAGTGGTTTTTGTAGAGAGCAGGGTTATGCATTACGACTTTGAGATGATAAAAATACATTCCTGAGGTAAGTCTCAAGGACAAAACTGTCTGTGACAGGGCTCCTCAGGTCACTTTTCATGGGAAGGGGCTGTTACACTAAGGAATACATATCTGTTGATGTCACTTGGGGGAGGTCCCAGGGTAAAAGCCACTCTTCCTCCTTCTCTCTCTTCCCAGCACTCCTGGACCCTGCAAGTGTACAGCACAGCATCACAGCCCTGTTCTCACTGTATCTCTGGTCTCTAGCAGAGGAAGCTCTGCAAGGCCTGATATGGGAAGAGTTGTTTATTTTTCAAAAATAAGGAGAGAGAGAGAGAGAGAGAACCTTTGAAACTTTGCAAGGTGGTGATCTGAACTGCAAATTTTAATAACAAAAAAAAAAACATCATGTTTTGAGAATGCTAATTACAGTCATTCTCTCATAAGGAATTTTAAAAAAAGCATCTGCCTTCCTAGGCAGGGGTCAACCCGCATGTTCTTTTACCGCCACACGAAAGGGCAATTAGAGTAACCCTCCTAGACACATTTCCAGTCCTTGAATAATAATCATCACTGTCTAGACAGAGCCTGGGGTTTTGGTAAGGATTTAAAGAAATTGGCTGTTTCCATCTCCCTCCAGCCACCTCGGCAGACCCGCTCTCATCCCAGGGAGCACTGGCCAGCGCTCTGATGTTGAGGACAGGGGTTTCTCAGTGTGCTCCAAAATTCATATGGTAAATATAAAAACCCTGCCCTTTGATGTCGCCTCAGACATTTTTTCTTTCAAGCTCACCCAAGTCATTACTAGTTTTACAAAAAGGCAGCACCAGATGTATGAAAAATAGGCAATGTCTGACCTATTAGAAATATATAAAGTCTAACGGCTGTACGTTAAAAAGATGTAAGAAAGAAGCAACGCAGAGGGACAGCAGCTGTGAAACAAAAGGTGTAGCTTACAATCCTGGCAGGAGACAAAGCCACCGGGATTCTGTTCCAGTGCCCAGCAGGAGCTGCGCGGCAGGCCGGCAGGGATTCCCAGGGTCTCAGGGGAGGCCCCCTGACCCCTGCCTGCCCAGGAGGGGCTAGATGGCAGGTGACTGAGGTATATAGAGGGGTGATGCCCAGGGCAGCCTGGAGAGACATTCCCCAGTGCTTCTGGCCCCAGCCCACCTGCCCAGCCCCGAGGCCTCTTGCAGCTCCCAAACTTGCATAGGTGGCAAATAACGCTGTGGCGCCCTTCGAGGGCAAAGCGCGGATCTGCCCACGTGGGCATCCTCTCCTACAGTCTGCTCACAGGGCACAGCGACCTCCGCCAACAGCCCGGAGGGCGCACTGACTTGGGCTTTTGGGTGAAGGCAGGACACCTGCACACTTCCAGACCCCACCCCGATCCAGGTGTCCCTGCCAGGTGCCTTGGAGAGGACCTGGGACCCTGGGCGGCTGCGGCTCCCTCTGCTCCTGGGCGGAGCTTCCCGGGGCGCCACCCCCCGGTCAGTGGCGCTGGAGCAGCCGTCCTCAGAAGCTCTCCACGAAGCTGCCCGGGAAGAGGCCCGTGCGGCCGTTCCGCTGCAAGGTCCCCTTGTACCAGCCGTCCTCGCGCTTCTTGTGGACGAAGACAATGTCACCTTCCTTCAGCTCTATCTCCGCCTCGCTCTGGGGTGGGTAGGAGACCACCACGCGGTACCTGAGGGACAGATGGCGCAGCAGGTGAGCCTGGTGGACAGGCTGGCTTCCCCGGTAACCCCCAAACCCTGCCGGCCGGACCAAGCCCGCGACTCTGCTTTTCTTCTGCCTCCCCTCGGGGTGAATCTTGCAGTTTGGGACTGCTTTTCCCACTTCACAAATTTCTATTTTTTTTTTTTCCCCAAAATTCTTTTCCACTTAATTTTTTTTTTTTTTAAGAAATTTCCCTTTGTGTCTTCTTGGACACAGATCTAAGACTAGCTGCAATGTTCCTTCTTGTTCGTCCCAGCAGCACCCCGTCACTTCACACTCTCCCTGTGCCCTGACTGAGCAGAGCCACTGTGCCTTCCCGGGAGAGCTGCAGGGACTGAGGAAGGCCAGAGCCTTGGCTTTGTCCTCAGCCTGTTCTGACTGTGTGCCTCAGGCTCATGTCCCCAACTTGTTCAAGTGTCAGTTTCTTTGTCTAAAAAGCAGGGCCCCTCACCTGCGCCACTAGGTCGCAGATGGCTGTGGCTCGTATGATGTGTAAAATGTGATTGGAAGATGGTTTTGTTCCAATGGTCATTTTTCTAAATGTGCTTCAGAATCCTAAAATCATGTTGCCTTAGCGCTTCAACTAGCTGAGGCCATGTCACCAACATCCTCCAAAACTCATTTTCCCCACAAGAACTGGGCTCCTCCCTCTCTGAAGCCTCCAAGGCCTCTCAGAGTCTCTGTTTTCAGACCAACATAAGATAGAATGGAACCAGGATCAGAAGCCTTCCCTCTGTGGCCTCTGCATGCACTGAGATGGATGGCTTGCTGTAGGCTGGAGCTGTGACCACATGCAGCCCTGCAGCCTCTCTGGGCTGAGGCAGGTGCTCCCCAGATGTGAGACCATGGTCTGACCCTCTGGCCAGTACCTTGCCAAGGACCCAGAGTCCCAAGGTCTGCACAAGGCAGACCTGACAAGCCCTTAGCTATAGCCCCGACAGACTCTCTCCTTCACCAGACCCCAGCCAGGCTCCTTGAGCCCTCTTCTCTGTTAGGTTTCACCCTGGTCTATAAAGTCATGGACAAACACTGACAGTTTCTAACAGCTCAAGCTGAAACACTAGTACTGTCCTAACTCTTCTTAAAGTACCTACCTAAGAAGTCTCAAGGTGCCAGAAGAATTCACTGTTTGTTCCAACAATGCTTGAGGATAAGGCCTCAGCCTCAGTCTCTGGGAGGATGGGAATCCAACTTTACTCCAGTTACCAACCCAGTTGGGTTTCACATGGATCTAACACCCACTTTCTCTTTCTGTAAATTTCCACTCCTTTGACACTCTTGAGCCCCTGCTCCTCCTTAATCCCTCATTTTTCTTTGAAATGCTCATTCACTTAAATGTGAATCAGAATTCAGTTCATGGTGAATTCCTTTCCCTATGGCAAAAGTATATCATATTTCTGCTTAAAGTCTGTCCAAGGAAGAGGAGCAAGACTGAGGGGCTGCCATGCTCCCCTGGGGACCAGCCTGCTTCTAAAGTATTCCCAAGGGAATACAAGTGCCAGGGAAATCCCTATTGTCCCTTCTGGCAACATGGACCTCTAGTGACTGAGGAAGCTTTGCAGGGGCACATGTGCCCAGTGTCTGGCTGGGCCTCTGCACCCTCTACACTTAGGGCAGGTAACAGTTGTGCAGCAAAAGCTGGAAGAACACTGCATCCAAAGCACACCTCTGGTCCAAAATCCAAATCCTAAAGGAATGGGTTTTATGGCAGCCAGGATATAGCTGTTCTCTCTCAGGGAAAACCCCACCTGAAAGTTATTATAGCTATCATTTTGCTGAGGTGACACTGAGCTAGTCAGCAGAGCCTAGGCCTGGCAGGGAGAAGGTTCTTAGCACCCATGTCCCCCTAACAGGGCATCCATCTCCAAGGACACTGGGGCTGCCTGAGGGACACATACCAAGGACGTGCTAGGTGGCCTTCCTGTAGGCCCTCCTGGCCTTATGGTCATCCATACTGGCCTTCCTTTATACCATACAAATGGAAGACAACACTGACACATTCTGGCCCTCCTCTGCTAAGAGTGTTCACCACTTCCCATCTCTCGCAGAGTAGAAGCACAAGCTGAGAAAGGGCTTCTGTGTCTGGACATCCTCAGTGCCTGTGTGCCGCTCAGCATCCTCCTAGCTCAGCTCTGCTGGCCCTAGGTGCAGCAGGTGCACCGACCTCAGGCTCCTGCATTCGTGGTCACCTTTGCCTCCAGTGCTCTTCCCTATCATGGCCAAGACCGTCCTGCCCTACTCACTACCTTCGACAGGCCTGTCTGTTTACCTGTTTCCTTGTTTATTTTCTGTCTGTCTGGCCCCTTGGCAGGAAGCCCCGTGGTGGCACCTGCTCCCTGCTGCATCCTGTACCTGGAATAGGAGCACTGGCGAGCAACTACCTCGTCAATGGCTGCGGCTCTCTGCACTGTTGAGGACATGCGGCAGGGGAGGCTGCAGGCCTTGTGTGGGACTGGAGGGTGGAAAGCTAGAGCTACTGGGAGGGGCCTCATCAAGTGCCAGTTAGCCACGCCTCCTGGCCAGTTCCTTCTCCCTGCAGGGCTCTTCTCTCCCTCTTGTCTCTCCTTTCTCAGAAAGCCATAATCTTGTTCCTCAGCTGTCAGTTGGCCTGTTGGCCTCTCCTGTGGGCAATGGCAGGCAATGGGACTAGAAGAGCGCAGGGGGCCACTCAGGCAGAGTTTAATCACAGACAGCCAGCAGTCCTGCAGGCTGCCAGCAGCTACCCCACCCACACAACACTGACTTGTCCTCCCGTCTACACTGCTCTCTGGGGCCCGCCCCTCCTGCCTCGCCCTAGGCCCTCCTCCTGAACCTGGACCCAGCTGTCCTGTACACTAGGGAGCCTCTGAATCATGGAGGGAGTTATAAAGATTAGGCACCACACCTGGCTCTCCCAGGTCTCCTGGCTCCAGACCTCTTACAGTCCCTTTTCTTCTGAAGAGCACTTAAGAACCCCGGATGACATGCTGGTTTCTGACAGTTGGCATCTATGTTGGGTGGACCTCAGAAACTCAGAACTGACTGAAATTCTCAGCCTGAACCAGGGGGCGCATAAGGAGGCCAGCACTGCTGTCCCCTCCCATCCTGGCAATGCTGGGACCAAGGCCCTAGTCTACTGGCTAGGTGGTGGTGTGGGAGAAATAGGCAATCCTTTACCTTTCATCTTCCTGGCCAGCCAGCTGGGAAGACCTGTTCCCTGGGGCCTGCCTCTTCCTCCCTGCCCCGTTACCCACAGCCACACAGTGGGACCTGAAGGAGATCTGCCTCATCAACAGCATCTGGCTATCTTGAGGGGTCCTTAAGGTGCTCACTATCTGGAGTCTCTAGGCCTGGTGTATTCTGGTCTTAGAAAAGTTGGGACCTTACAAAGCAAAAAAGAGCCCCTAAGACAGCAATTGTGGCTCATGGATTTCAGGAGCCCTTGAGGCAGATTCCTAGGCCTCTACTGGGTCTACTTGATAACATGGGGCTAAAGACTATGGATTTTAAACAAGTTATGGAAGAAAATATTTGCATGCAGGTCCCTTAGAATCGGAGCACTGAGAGCATACAAGTTGGAAGGAAGATTCCATCCCTTCCCAAACCAGCCTGCTCACAGTGCACGTGTCTGGCTTGGCCTGAGAAGCCATGGTTTGGGGGAAGCTCGTGGTGTTATTGGGCTCGAAGAAGGGGCACAGACAAAAAGCCCTAAGCCCAGCCCCAGAGAGCCTACAGCCTACGGCACATGGATCCAACTTGCTTCAGACAGGCAAAAGCAGGAGGCAAGGCTTGCTGGGTGTGAGTGCTGCTATTCAGAGGCAGCAGGGCTAGCCACGCTCCAGGTTCCAGTACTGAGTCAGACTGGCCAACTCGATGTGCTTTGGGATGGTTGCAGGTGCAGCTGGACTGGACCAGTTCCCATTGATGTCTGAGGGCAAGCCAGACACTGGTTCTCTGGAGAGTGGAGGAGGAAAGGAAGTAGAGCGCCTCCCATCTCCTCCCAGACCAGTGTCTAGGAGGACAGATGGCCCCTGGGATGCAGCCAGCATTCTGTGAAATCAGACAGCATGCACACAAACCTGATGGTCCCTACCCCACCAGCACAGAGGCTGCATGTGTCCACCAGGACTGGGCTGTCCTACCTGTGGCTTCCTGCCATCCTCCACTTCCTCTCTGAACACCTGATCCTTCTCTCTCTTCCCCAAGGAAAGAAAGGCAAAGGGCAAGATGATTTCTCAGACTCTGAACGCAAGTTTTGGCTTTTGCCTCAACAGCCAGATGTGAAACAAACAAGCGACTTTAAAAATGCAATTTGTTAGAGAGAAGTAATTTGGTGCTTCTGAGCAATTCAATGATTTAATGAGCCCAGATGGATGTGAGCTGAATTTATATGAGATAAGTGTTTAACGTTTCTGTCCAGATCATTCCAAGACTCTGAGCTATTATCCCTGCTGCATGAAAGTAATTGACACTCCCTGTTATAGACACAAAGGGCCATGTAAGCAGTTGAGGATGACAGCTACTCTTATGTCATGATCATGGCTTCATAAATCAGAGAAAGACTCTGCCCTACTGAGTATAAATAAGGTTTGTCAACCACAGCTAATATTCACACACAAGGCTCAGGGAATCCAAACAGACAAAATCAGGAGGAATTCTTATTACTAGTGCAATTAGCTCCATGTGTGAGTTTAGGGTGTCCCGACTTTATCTAGTGTCATCTGCTTCCCTACCTGACAACAGGGGTCACAGGGTGGCCCTCCCTAGGGTGGCCTTTTCAGAGCATTTACTTCAACATGGTTGAGGACAAGTGGGCCTCTGAGAGGTGGCACCAGGTGGTTATGGAATAATGTCCGGCTAGCAACTTAGAAATGACAAAAAAATGCATCTATACCCTGGACACTAAACTGTAATGCATTACAGATGCTCCTCAGCTTGTCATGGTGTTACTCCTCAGTAAACCCATCATAAACTGAAAACATCCCAACAGGAAATATAGAGGTAGTAGAGTTTTAACCTGATACCACGTGAGATTCACATCCTATAACCATACCCCAATAATCAGTTCCCCAAATAACTTTCAAATTTGGCTTCTTGAGCACATTGTCCACAGGGAAAAAAAACAAAAAACATGTTTAGGTGGCCTGAAGATTAAGTCCCCTTGGGATGGATTGGTAACCAGTCCTTTGATTTACACAATAGTCTGGGGGTGTGGCTCAGTCAGGTCTAGTCTGGAGACATATGCGTTGTCAGCCAGCTGATGTGGCAGGTTTACCAGAGCTTGCCCAGGTATACTCTCCTGAGTGGCCTCCCTCGGGGCTCCCTTTGCAATACTTTTTTTTTTTTTTGGTACTGGGGAACGGAACCCAGGGGCACTCAACCACTGTGTTCCAGCACCCGCCCCCCCCCTTTTTTTTAGAGATAGGCCCTCACTGAGTTGCCTAGGGCCTTGCTAAGTTGTTGAGGTTGGCTTTGAACCCATGATCCTCCTGCCTCAGCCTCCCAAGCCTCTGGGATTACAAGCATGTGCCACTGCCCTTTGCAGCACTTTTAACCTAAACTTCCTTCCTCTAAGAGCACTGAGCAGCCCCCACTGTCTTCCCAGATCCTCAGGAGAGCAATGGTTGAGACTTGGGGTGGGGGATGGGGGAACCTGCACCAGGAGTTTCACAAAAGACGCAAGAAGGACACTGCTGTGTCTGGAACTCAGCCACTGCTTCAGCACTGCAGGATGGACACCTCGACTCTGACTGCCCCACAGTGCCCTCCTGCCATATTCCACCTTGCACGCCTCCGTCCTTCCATGAATATCTGTCCTGTGAGCGAGGCAGCAGGACCCTGGGGGGCAAAGACTCTTGCAGCTGCATCCCACTGGCTTCCCTCTTCCAAAACATGCTGCAAAATGAGGTTTCTTTTTAAGAATTTTTTTTAGACTTTATTTTATTTATTTATACATGGTGCTGAGGATTGAACCCAGGGCCTTGCATGTGTAAGGCGAGCACTCTACTGCTGAGCCACAACCCCAGCCCCTACCAAGTGAGTTTTATTCACAAGCCTGCAGGGCCAGATTCCAAATGCTGTCTGGACTGGAGCTGTCTCAGCCTAAAGAGCCAGCACGTCCATAGTCACAACCTGTCCAGGCTCCGTGGACACCAGGCGGCCTGTGGCTGCCCAGGTTGAGGTTGAGGGGAACATTCCTGGGACTCATCTGTAGTTTGGTGTCGGGCTATTATTTTGCAAACACTGCTCTTTAATGAGCTCTGCAGAGTGCTTGGGGTCAAGGAGCGTGCCCAGAGTCTTTAGGTATAATAACCCCCTGATTAGACCAGATATTCTGAGAGTGGCAGTGGCTGTCTGAATCTGCTAGTTAATCAGAGACTCCCATGATTTTTTAGAATAGAGTCTTTCAAGATTTCTTATTGAGGAGTCTGGAAGTCACGTCTTTGAAGATAGACTTAGAGGTGTAGGGAGCAGGTACCCATGGGAGATACAAGAACAGCTATGAAAGATCTAGAAGCCTGTCATTCTTCTGACAAGCCAAAAGACCCACTCTGTAACCTGCGATGAGACACTGGGACCCATGTTCAGTATTCACAAGGCAGTTGGTGTTTGCCCATGGAGGGAGGAGATTCGGACAAGAAGGAGCTGCCCCAAGTTGGAGGAGGCTCCCTTGGGAAGGGAAGTGGGAGAAGGCAATGTGCATGTGTGGGAATATATTTGTGTATGTGTTCCAGAGTTTGTGTGCATTTTGTGTGAGTGTATGTGTGTTAGCAGAGTGTGTGTATGTGTGTGGTTTGCGTGTATGTTCATATGCTATGCAGGTATGTTCACATGTGCCTGTGTTTGGTGTGCGTGTATATTTGTAAGTTATGTGTTTGGTATGCATGAGTGTATGGTGTGGTGTGTTTGTAGGCGTGTGGTGTATGTAATATGTGTGTGAGGTATGTGTGGTGTGTTCACATGGTGAATGTGTAGTGTATCATTATATTATGTGTTTTCCTGCTGTGGGGGGCAGTGTGAACTCGATCACTTGAAGGTCCAGGGTCAACATGGGGAAGGCAATTCCCTGCACAGCACTGTTGCATGAAGAGGGGACACAGCTGCACCTTGGGTGGACAGGGCAGTGCTCCTGGATTCTGGAGGATTTGCCAGGGCTGTGACTTGCTCCGCACTATTCTCAAGCTAAGGATGTCAAAGTCCCTTTATAGGACCAGTGAGCATCCTCTGAAGGGGGCTGCTGTCTATGCACCCCACAGAGTAAGGCTTTTCAGAGTCTGGACTCTGTGGTCAGAAAGCCCTAAGCCGAATCTTTGGTTAAGCCACTAACCCATCTGTGTGACCTTGAGCAAGTGATACAGCCTTTCAAGAAACCTCAATTCTCTCTTCTATAAAATGGGGAGGCTGAATTCACGGGATTGGTAAGGAAGATTATATCACATAGAAGGCACTCGGAAATGCTGGCAGATACACATATCATGCAATGCCTGACCATCCTGGTGTCCACAGCCAGCAACTCTCCTAACTCTGGGATGTTCTGAGCATCACATCTGTGCAGAATATTCAGTTGACATCAGCCTGCTACTGACTGCTACTCTAATAGTAGGTTGTAACATGGTGCCATGCTTTCCCTCCTCGGCCTTGTGGAGACACTGACCCTTCCTGCGGCCCCTGTTGATGCTCCCAGAGGCACAGCTCAAAGGCACCATCTAGATATCTGTCACTGCACTGAGAGCTAAGAATGTTGCTCATTTTGATATGGTTGAAAAGGAAATCCAAGGCAGATTTTAAAACGTGAGAAAGTTGTAGGACACTTAAATTTCAGTGTCCTTACATAGAGCTTTCTGAAACACCAGACTATTTGTCTACATCTGGCCTGTGGCAGCCTTCCTACTAAATAGGTAGAGTGACGAGTTGCCACAGACGTTGTAAGGCCCACCACATCTACAATGTTTTTAGTATGCGGCCCTTGACAGAAAATGTATATGCCTTCTTTGGTCTAGCTGGAAACTTATCTAGCCCCTTGCTGGAAGTGGTAGTCTCAGAGGTCCGCAGGTGCTCAGGATGGTGGCTGCCTTTTGGGGCTGTGGTGCTAGCACGACTGAGCAGCAGTATTTTAGCAGAAATGCCAAGATTGTTTTCTTAGGAGATGGTTCATATTTTTATTACTTAAGCAACATCCTAACGTGTAGGACCTGAGTAAGGAAAATATCTTCTTGCTATCCTAATCGCACATATGGTAATCTTAATCCTCAGGGAAGCCCCAAATGTCCCTGTTCCTCCAATGAGCCTCCAGACCTTGGGGGACCACCCCGAAGCATGGCCACAAATGTTGCCAGCCCACACTCCCCCTTACCTCTCTCTAGGCAATGGCTTAGGCTCAGGACGGATGGCAGCCATGGAAAGAGATGCTTGCCGGGAAGGGGACAAGGAGAAGTTCAGATCCAAGGAGCCGGCTTTCCTGTGCAGTGGCTCTAGCCCCATGGCTCCCTGCATCTCGCTCTCTATGGGGCAGGAGCCTGCCCTGCCATGGATGGACAGCGAGGATACTTCGGGGCCCATGGCGCCCTGGAGTGAGGTGTCCAAAGCCATCTGAGGGTCATGGGTTGGAGAGATGGATGGCGGGGAGCGCGACTTCTTCTTGGTGGATGCCCCAGCTAGAAGTTTCAGCAGCCCACTCTTCTTCTCTTTCTAGAGAGACATAAGTTTGAAACCAAATGTGTTAACGCTCCTAGAGAAGTACAATCCTCTTTGGAACTTTAAAGATTATCTTGTGAAGCTGGTTAGAGGAAGAAAACAAAAGCTGAGATTGAAGGCTCATTGTGCTTCTTTTCTTAAAACTTGGAAGAAGTGTCCCAGACGGACCATGCAGCTCTGGGGCGAGTTGGTGCCATTCCCTTGGGAAGACGCTGCATGTTGGCCATTCTGACACACAAGTCCCCTCCCCACTGCAAGGCCCTGGTCCAGCCTGGAAACTTCATGGGCTGAGTCAGAGGAACCAGCCGATAGCATTATTTGCTTTCTGAAAATATTTCTGGTGGGGCTTCACATGAAGCAGGGGTCACAGTGGGGCCTGGCTCTTCTAAGAAGAGCCCCCAAAGAGTCCCTGTGTCATGTCTTGCTGATGTCACACAACTTTTGAAAGAAAATTGCAGGGCTGTGCAGCCTTACCCGAGGGGTTGCTTATTCCAAATTGGGCTTCTTGACATAACTCCCTCACCCCCTGAGGATGAGCTAAGGAATGTGTTTTCGGTTCATTTGGAAACCTCAGCAGCATTTTCTATAAACTATCCTTTGCATAAAATGGCTGATAGAGCACACAGAAAGTGTGCTGAGGTGTGTGTGTGTGTGTGTGTGTGTGTGTGTATTCTATATGTTCCCAGCAGAGCCTGCATGCCAGGGAGGAGTGCTTGTCCCTGAGCAGAGGGCAGCTGTTCCCTCTCACACCAACAGTGCTGTTCCCTCTCACACCAACAGCAGCGGGAGGGTTGGGACCCTGCTCTTTGGTTCACTTTTCCCTGAATTCCCTTGCTGGAAAATTCCCTGGTTCAATCTCTTCCCTAGCTTCCCTTCCTTAAGAGAGAGAGAGAGCCGCTATGGGATGAAGTTGACTGTTCTCATGTGCAAAACGGGTGAGTCAGCTGGAAGGATCTGTGCTTACAATCACCAGCTCGGTGTCCACGTCATCCCCTGAGGATGTGCAAACCCATCTCCTGGCATGGACAACCTTTGCACCCTGCAAATGGCTGTCTGCTGGCAGAACAACAGCCCCAGGGTTTTCATCAGCACCCCAGGATTTCTCTGAGTGAGCCTCACCCAGTAGGTCCCATGCTTTATGGAGTCAGAGCTGGCTCTCCATCAACACAGGACAGCCAGGCTGGGCAGTGAGACCAGCCTAGAAAAGGAGCCCAGGCAGTGTCCCTGGATGGCCTGGAGCAGCTTTCAGGTGTGCCACTCCTGTCTGTGCTGGGTTCTGTGAGCATAAAGGTTAAGTGGATGGGGTCTGGGCCTCAGCCTCCCTCAGCGGTCTGTGGTGATTACTTGGAAGACATTTAAAACATTGCCCATCAGCACTCTAAGAAAATTGTACTGTATCCCTTCATTGAGGCTGGGCTCTGTGTGTGTGTAAGTACTGGTAAGCATGTGTGTGTGGGGATGTGAGTGTGGACGTGTAGTGTGTGAGGTTTTCATCACTGTGAACAAAATACCTGACCAGAACAACTTAAAGGAGAAAAATTTTACTTTAGCTCATGATTTCAGAGGTTCAGCCCATGGTCAGCTGACTCCATTGTTTGCGCTGAAGGTGAGGGAGAGCACTGTGGCAGAAGGGCCTGGTAGAAGACCACTGTGGCAGAAGGGCTGCTGCACTCATGATGGCCAGGCAAAGAGAGGAAGGGGAAGGGGCCACGGGGAAGATGAACCCTTCCAGAGCACACCCC